ACGACTGTTACCTCTCGCCGATACGATTTTCTTAAGATCAACTGGATGGTATGTAACCTTGCTAGCCGATGGGAATTCACAGCAAGGGAAGGCTACATGATAAAGGATGAAGTCGTTTGATATTATAACTCACAATCACCATTCCAACTGGAGACAAATTGTAAGTTCAGTCTCTACTTATCTATGAGACTCAACTGACTTTTTGTTTATAGTTTGTGTAGACTCACACCCAATTGATTATTGGCTTGCTCTTCCAGTCTCAGTTCAACAAAGTCCCCTCAAGAGGCTTGCAATTGCAGTTCTTCAAGTTGTTGCACACGCAGGTGGTGTTGAAAGCCTTTTTTCGGACATGGGTGCAACAAAAACTAAGGGTCGCAGAGTATGACGACAAACACTTTGAAGATGACTTCACAAATCTGAATGCACCTTACCACCGAGGCAAAATCCAAGATCAAGTCATTCAATTCTTCATACAAAAGTTCATCCAAATCTGAATGTGATGTCACCAAGGATCTCACTGAGGATAGATTTATCATGACAGAGGAATTAGAGAGTTTTGAAGATGGAGTTTTTGCACAGATAGATCCGCTCGATCCCAGCCTTTTTATAGATGAGAGCGGATTCATCACTTCTTTGTTTGACTTCCGAGAGTTTGAGAACAGAAAGTTGGCTTGTACTCCTCAAAATACTGATCCAATTGTTATTCCGGACAGCCCTGGTGCAGCCTGGAGTGCTGATGATCTAATTTCTTGATACTCTGATTGTAATAGACATTTTACTTGTTTAGAACAGAAAAATATATCTACGTAGACACATTCAGAAGAAATTAAATGTTAGGCCTTGGCTCTCAACTAAAAAATTATGAGATTTTGAGAGAGGGTGCGACACACCCCTCGCACAGGGGGTGCAAGGCAAAATTTGTTGGTTATTGGTTATGATGTGACACATAAGGTGAAATAGTGTTATAAGATCAAATTCTAATTCTAGTTATTTGATATTTTTGTTATTTGATATATTTCTTTATTTGATTTGTGTTCTGTGTCTTACTGTGTCAGTTTCTCTTACCTCTTAGCATCCGTGTGTCTATTGTGATTTTTTTTACTATTTAAAGTACCTATGAGTCTCACCAGGGTTTGATCCTCATCTATTCAAACCCTTCTTCACTTACAAGCAAGATTCTTACTTACGACATATCTTTGCTTGACCGTGATTGACTCATAGGTGAGTTTATCAGATTGGCTGTGTTTTTTCTATTTTTCTCATTTATCTGTATGTGTTGCGCTATTTCTTGTTTATGTTTGCAAAATAAATGATCTATTCAAACCCTTCTCCACTTACAAGCAAGATTCTTACTTACGACATATCTTTGCTTGACCGTGATTGACTCATAAAATTTTGGGTCAAATTTCTGCGCACTGGTGCGCCAGATTTTGAAAAAGGCGCGTCCACAACCTGAGCTATGGCTCCGCTATCTCCTCCAAAAAATTCTCTTCACAATTTCGCAACGGTTAAACCACTATATAATTGCTATATGGTGCCACTATCTGCGCTTTGTGACTTGAGAGAAAAAACAACAAGATACAACCTGATTTTGAAGAAAACCCCATGTGTGCAAAGAATCTACAGTCATTTGATGTAGACATTGAACTTCAGGAAGGTGCAGAAGCAGCCAAGTGGAATCTTGAAATGCATCAGGGTACACTAGCTCATATGATAACCTTTCGAGGAAAGTTTGATTCAATAACCTTGGCTATATACATACGGTCAAACCTTTGGGTCTTCCACAGCGAATGGAATCCACAAAGGAAAATCAGGTACAAACCAATCCACTTTACTCACACTACAAAGAATATAATGTTTTCTGGGCAGAAAACACAAATATTGATATACAAAAATATTGGGCGGTCAGGAGGAGGGCAAAAAATACAAAAAAATATGGTTGTTGTTCCTGGTGTTGAGAGCTTCAATCTGAGTATTTTTTTGTATTTTTAGAGTGCATATTGTTGAACGTACTAACAAAAAAACCCATATTCATCAGATGTATACCTGTAACAGATGCTGAAATTTGGTTCCTCAGATTGGAGAGGACAATTTGAATCTACAAATGCTCATAACTTTTGCAATTGGCAAGGAAAACACTCGATTATTGGTTCATTAGAAAGCTGAACTTTGTCTCCAGATCTTTCATTGAGGTGATGGGGCTGTGTCCAGCTTTGCGAAGAATCTATGTGGCTTTGAAGAAGATATTTCAAAGTTACTATAGCTGCCTTGTGAGAGAAAATGAAGCCTTGAATCATTATTAAGACATTTAGAGAGAGAAGTCTTTTGACCAAGAATTGTGAATTTTATGAGCATTTGTAGAATTCAAATTGTCCTCTCCAATCTGAGGAACCAAATTTCAGCATCTGTTACAGGTATACATCTGATGAATACGGGGTTTTTTGTTAGTACGTTCAACAATATGCACTCTAAAAATACAAAAAAATACTCAGATTGAAGCTCACAACACCAGGAACAACAGCCATATTTTCTTGATTTTCTGCATTATGTTTCTCCACATTTCTGTTCCCTAAAGCCTTTGTCTATGGGCAGTATTTCTATATGTAATTGTGGATTATATACAGAAGTTGGATTTTCTGAAGTTCTTTGACCTTGAGGCAAATTGTGATGAAATGCAGGGCCCAAATTAGGCTCAAATAGACTGATATGAATGTAAATAATGATTTCCAAAAGTTTCTGCCATCAATTTATTCATATCCTTCCTACAATCAACAAATCAAGGAAATATTGGACTGCTCATGTAGAATTCACAATTATATATAGAAATATGCCTTTTGGACAAAGGCTGCAAAAATAAAAAATGTAGAAAAGTGTATTGTACAGTGGAATATAAAATTTATTTTATATGTATATTGATAAAGATTTAAGATATCCAAGACTCCAGTCTTATGTATACTACAAAAATAGTATTTTTTATCCGTGATTTTTTTTCAAACCTCAATAACTCAGTCAATTTACATGATAAAGTTTAATAGACTATATATTCTTGATCTGTGAATACAGGAGCAGGTGTGTAGAGATTTATGATGTCATATGATGACATCAGAATTTTGGTGGTCTGACAGGCAGATGGCCCCACATGATATTATGTTGAAGTCATTTTGAAATCTTTCTGAATCTTTCATGAATCTTTCATGAAGCCATGGTAATCTCTGGCCTGCCAGAGCCTAGTAGCTGGGGGCTGTGTTTGGAGTTCTCAACACTACAACAATTGACATTTTTACCCAGGGGTATAGAAAAGTAGCGTGGGCATAGAAAACTATTGGTAGGGTAGTTTTCTATACCAATAAACAATGCTTTTGATACACCTATGTAAGATATTTGATATTGAGAAATTGAGTATTTTCTTTGCGGTGAATCAGCTGTATGTATTGGGACCCAAAGGCAGTGCTACAGTGCGCAGAATCTCAATTTTCTGTTTTTTGATTTTTTTATCCTGAAATACAATTCTATGCTGATAAAAGAGATCCTCAACCATGTTCAGCAATGTATGTGAGTATGTATGCACAATCTTACACAGATTGACAGACACCTTTTACATGCGCACAATATGACTGATGGAACATGCTTTCCCATTGGACAAGACTCAAGAAGGGCTTCGAGTCTAGATTTAAATTCAGGCCTTGTGGTCATGTGGATATTTCCATCCGTGGGTATAGAACAGAATGGTTTGTCTAGGCATAGAGGATACTATATCTATGGGTATAGAAAAGCACTTCACCCATAGTTTTCTATGCCCACACTACTTTTCTATACCCCTGGGTAAAGATGTCATTTGGTGTAGTGCAAGAAACACTTTGTACTGGTGTGTGGAATGGGTCTTTTTTTTTTGGATCTAGATACTTGTGTATCGTGGTTCACGCTATACGGCCACAGTGGCGTGCTTGATTAGCAAACCTAACAAAGCATGACGAAAGAGAAAAAACCCCCGGACTGATCAAGAAGACCTAAGAATGATGACAGAGTTTTGTGGGTGGTTTTTGCGTTTGACGCACCAGCCCCGCTATTGTACAAAAATATAAAAAAGTCATTTGAACTCATAATAATATCTGCGCACAACTTTTTGATAATTAATTCTTTTCTATACATAAACTGATACTATACTGCTTGGGCGGGTGGGAGGTAAATGAAAAATGTTATCGCTGAAATATTTTTCTTTTATGTGAATGTAGAGAAAAACTGGAATCAGGATAATGATAATGTGATGAGATGGAATTCTAAGAATAAGATATTTTCTTTGAATTTCTTTGTTGGGGAACTAGGGAACTTGCTTCAGCAGCATAACTCCTAGACGTCCATTCTCTTCCTCTGACATCATTGGTTCAAATCAATCTTTTTTGATAGTTATTGATGATGAACATCGTCTGAGAAGAGAATGAGGTTGCTGTGACCCGTATACCACATTATCCGATCCGTCTTTCTTCGACCCATTCCCATCCATCAATACTCGTACCGATTTCTAATTTTTGCAAAGCAAAAAGATTGATAGAAGTTTTGGTTGGTTAAGGGTGGCTTTGATATTGCTTTCTAGCCATCTTGAAAGCATTTTTAAATCATTGAACTACGGCTGAATGGGTTTTGCAAACCGGTTGGTCAAAATTTTTCCCAACCCTACAACTTATAACTCTCAATCTCTCTTTTTTAATTAATCTCAAGATATTTTAGTGGTATTGTTTTAAAATGTTGTAAAGGGGTCAAACATGTTGCAAAGGCCGCCCACAGAATTCCGCCTTTTTTCACAAATCTTTGTCATCATGTAGTCAGTCTGATTCCTCAAGTTTTCTTAGTTAGGTTAATCAAAAAAGCTGCCTCTGTGGCCGTTACGCGTACAACCAAGATACATGGTATCTAAAAACCAAAGAGACTAATTCCCGAGGAAAACAACCATAACTTAGTATGTACTACCAACTTGCCAAGGCCGTGGAATCTGCGCCTGTTCCCTAATATATCCCTTCGGGTTCCTCAATACAGTAATCATTTGGACCACAACTACCACACCCGAGTCCGAGTCCGAGGGCTCTACATGTAGCATGCAAAGTACAGGTGCGTTGTTTACACTTGGCTCCATCCTCACTGGCACCACGCCCGCCGTCCTCATCACCTTCAAGCAAAGTACGTGATCTACTAAACCTTGTGAAGCCCCCAATATCTTCTCCATCCTCCATAATTGTACAAATAATTGGTATAATTGAAATGCTTAAGATCAAGCTGAGTAGAACAATTTTTCGCAATTGGATTCCGATCATTGGTGATGATGTGATATCAAACTGAGTATATATAGGGTAATCCAATTTGATTAGTTATTGTTGATCAAATTTGTGTGAAATTACGGTACTCAAAGCTGTGTATAGTTTTGTGTGTATAGTTTTTTTTGCCCAAATATACTTTTTTTTTTGGCGGGGAAAAAAAGTATATTTGGGCAAAAAAACTACATTGCTTTGAGCTCCCCATATGTATATCTGTGTTTGTTGATCAGATGCTGGTGGCTAAACTTCAACCAAAATATGCTTTTCCCAGGTCGTGTATAGTTGCAAAAAAAAGTATATTCGGGCCAAAAAAACTATACACACAAAACTATGCACAGCTTTGAGTACCGTAATTTTGTTTCAAGATGACTGACCAAAAAAAATCAAATATCAATTGACTCGTCAAATAATTCTGGTAGCACAGGAGGAAATCAGATTCTAAACCTTGACACAATCATTGTGCATTGACAGACTTTAGTTTTTGATCAAGGGTAAACTTCAAGAAAATGGGATGATTACTCACGGACTGCGTTTGGGAGCGGGTGTGCAAGGAGGTTGGTTTAGTTTTTGGTTGATTGGCTGAGTCAACTGTTGGTGAAAAGGTAGATTATGATCGGGATTTGTTGTTGATGGATCTGTGGTCTTAGACATGAAGTCTACTTGCAAGATGAGTAGATCAAAATAAAGCCGATATGGAATCACAAACCTTCAAGCTTAGTGAATGACAAAAACGAACGTCAATGATTTATAAGATATTTGAATAGCTTTGAAGCTGTTTTGATTTGGGAAGGACAATTATCAAGTTGGGAACTGATGTTGGATGGTTCATAACATGATACTGAGCGAATTTATATCAGAATTTGGTATCCTTTCTCTTGCAAACTTCTTCCAGAACTGATTTCTTCATCAACCTAGTTGGTTATAAAACCCTCTATGTAAGCTCCAGCTTAAGGATAGTGATGTTTCTCAAACCGACTCCGTGGGCCGTTCATCATGCCAACAAAGTCACAAGCTATATCAAGGAGTCGAATAGGCACCTCACTCCTCAAGCAAGGCCTCACGAGGGGTGAGGGACTTACAAGTTTATTCAAGCCAATCCCATGGTCTTGCCGTACTCTGCTTTATTCATCTTAGTGACAATGTTTAGGATAATATCGTTAGCCGTTCACCTTAAATAACCCTGGAAACATGATAAAACTTAGTCGACTCGTGAGACCTGATGTCCATGACTGTTTATGCTGTATTTTGCCATCTCCAGCGCACCAAGTCTTTGACACGCAGAGTAGTCTTACAATCAGTCTCTACGGGAGACGACGGAAGACGACAAGACAGAGCTTGAACATTCTGTTTTGTTCCATCGCAATGTGTATGTACATAATGCGACTGCACGCAAACTTAACTAAGTCCCTCGCTCGCTGGTGCCCTTGCTGGTGAAATGAGGGAGCGGACTCGTTTTGCCAAAGGGTAAACACAACAACCGTGCCAAATTCGAACCAGACTGATTCCCCGGGCAAGCATTTCTTAAACGACTGTACAATTTCAACTTCTTCAAAACTTCCATCTGAGGGGTATAGACATTCAAGATCAGTTGAGTATCTATCGACGAACTCATGTAAGGCTGATGGATAAATTGTAAACACAATATACAAGATATGTAGAGCGTTCAAACATTGGAATGAGAGCAGCTGAAGTAGGAAGAAAATTTTGTAGTCGGGAAATTTGACTGACTTATCTGAGACTACTGAGCAAAGACATCTTTATATGAAAGTAGTAGGATTTGACTTCTAGATCTTCTGGAAGACAGCTCAAGGTATCAGTTTGGTGTACATATTGTGTTTTAACCTGTTTTGACCCCCTAGATGTGCAAGACCCCACACAATAGGTGTACCGTTATATTCATATCTGTGCCCATATCAGTGGTAAAGATGTACTTGAATTTACTCGTTGGTATAATTGTATTCACTACAGCCCTTTGCATGATTGATGACTTTGAAGAAAAAAAGACCTTGAGTTTTCAACAAAAAAACCTTGAGTTTTTTCAAAAAGTGACTGAGTTTTTTCAAAAAACTACCGAGTTTTTGAGAAAGTCAATGCGTTTTTCTTAAAATTTTCAAAAGTTAATGAGTTTTTGAAAAACTCAGTAGGTTTTCCAAAAACTCGGTCACTTTTTCAAAAAACTCGAGGTTTTTTTTGTTGAAACTCAAGGTTTTTTTTTCTCCAAAGTCATCAATCATGCAAAGGGCTGTAACATCCCAGTAAGCCATAAGATCCTTGAATGATTGCCCACTCATGGCCAGAGCGCGCTGGTGATAGTTTTTCAATCTCCAAGAGACCTAGCATACTCTACGTGCTCATCTCACCCTTCGTGTTTTGGTCAACTTATCTAACTACTTTATTCTACTGAGATCACTGGCTAGACAACAGATATGCCCTTGAAAGATTCTCGAAAATCTTTCACTCGTTCCTGAACACTCAGTCGAATTGAACGAGGTGTGAATAGTTTGACAGTACTTCCATGACCATGTTGCAAGTCATTCGTTCGTACAGAGCTTTGAAATGTCCAGCTAACAATAGAATTCATAACTCCTCAAGTTTAGCAAAACGGGCTCCCGATAATGATGACAATTATGAGCTGCAAGATCATAATAAGATGTTGCATGGGGTGAAGCAAGTGACATTAAGCAAAAACAAATTGAGATCAAACTTACTCCAGATACACAAAACAATGATGAAGAAACAAATGACTTAATTAGATCCAATGAAATGCATTACAATGATAAACAGTTAGACAAAATGAGGGCGCTTGATGAAAATTCAGATGAGGAGAACTCGAACACATGTCATGCTTGTGAATAGTATCCCGCAGGAGCGGCAATCCAAGGTGCTTTGGGAACGTCACCACCTTCACGGTGTCTTTCCCTTTTTGTAAAAAAATGATTCATGGAAGTCAATAAATCAGATTTACTAGATGTGAAGATTTTGTTGGGGATAAGAGGTAGTCATTAAATTAAGACTTACCGGTCAACTGCTCGAAAGACAAAATTCAACAAGATAGCCAGAAAGAGAGCACATGCAATGAAGACTGGTGCTAACAGTTCGTCTACAAAAAAACACATCACGACATTCAGGAAACAACGATAAGCCTACGTTGACAGATCACTTCTCGTGAAGCGCAACAAACGATGGCGTACCAAAATGGCCTGGGAATTTATCTTTAATCATTCGAATTCGTTTCTGGTAAACTATCCATCCATAACTTATTGTTGCCACCGCGATCGCAGTATATACCACACCTAGAAGACGAGCACCAGTGGAAGGCTAATTGACAACGAGATCAGATGTCCTTTCTAGTGAGGGTATCCATCTCAGTGATTGAAGTTCTCACTGAGCAGTTGACCAGTGCGATTCCAAAAGTTCCAAGTAAAAGTCCAGTTCGACACCAATTAAGCCAAGTACGTTCATTTGCAAACCATACTTTAGGTTCGATTTTGGATCCATTGATGATTGGTTTTGGTTTAGGAGTGGCTTGACTACTCGAAGCTGTTGCACCATAGTTTGGAATAGGACGAGTTCCACTGGTGGAAGGCTGTTGTTGGGAGTGTACCATGTTTGTTCCGGATGTCAAGTTCGTGGGTAAATTGATGTTCGAATGGTGTTGTCTGGATAGAAATTTAAGGCGGGGTAGACTTGAAGCCGCAACCCAACGTTCAAGCGGCTCCGCGCGGGCTGACGGGGCTTCCGCCTCACGGGGTACAGCGGGCTGCCACAGTGGCCCCGCTCCGGGATCATCCCAAAGCTGGGCGTATGAAATGCCTGCTCAGCTCTGAGGAGACCACAAGTTTGTAGTTGCTATATTATGACTTTGACTTCCCCTGAATAATGGCTGAATTACTTGATTGGGCGTGCTTGCAGGTGCTTGCACAAAGGTGAGAAATTTTAATGGTTCACCATTTTCTTGCGGGTGTGCTAAATAGACACAGATCAAGTCCAAAAAAACTTCTCCTAACATCCACAAGGGTAGGACAGCTTTTAAAAATTTAAGACGACAGGACAGAAGGTCCCAAAAAAAAGAAAGAATCAACTACATCCTAAAGAAAGCGAAACTCATTGTCCGGACTAGATGGCCCCCTTTCTAAGCTCAAATAAGTCTCCACTTGTTACAAGAACGTTTTAGATAGTGTTAATAAATGTAACCAAAGGCACTTTTTTTGAAAGAAAAAAAGTGCGGACAAGTGCGTCTTCGGCACGCAAGGGTCTACGCCGCCCGTGTGAACATGGATTGGTCACCGCGGATCCTAATCACCGCGTCAAATCTCGCCGCCCTCTGGGAATAATGCCAGAGGCTGAGGCTCTGAATGGCTGCATGATGATCAGGCATTACTGATATGGTGTGAGGATTTATTGGTTGTTTTTGCTGACGGCGACTAACAGCACTGGATAGAAACTTGATTGGTCTGTTCTTAGGGACAGGTCAGCCGGAGGAGTCTCTTCAGTCACTGCCTTTAGGGAAGCATGGCGGCTATGAGTAAACGGAGACAGTGAGTCCATGTCGATATAAATAACTAGGGTGACGGATGAATTGCCACGTTGGACCTTGAGCATGGTGTCATTTCGTTCATTAGGGTAAATTCTCTTCATCATCAATGCTGGTCTTCAAACACCTATTACTCTTCAACATCTCCATTTTGTCATAGCTGCCAACGGAAAGCTCGTTCTAAATATCATCTCCATATAGATATCGATTACTATTCTTGCAAGATACCGGCTGCTTCTTTGTGCAGGGCAAGCTGCATACGCGTGGAAAGAGTCATCGTGATGACAGCTCGGTCAGTGAGTGCTAGGACGTGTCCCCGTCATTAGGGGATAATAAGAAGTATATGTGGTGGTCACTGACGTCATTGGAAGCGCATTCAGCTACATAATCGGAATGTTTTGTGCTCGCCATTGCTCAACCGCCCAACGAGTTTCAGGATTTTCTCTAGCACCACAGGGTACACGAGGATTCGGCAGAGTTTCGAGCTAAGGCGCAGGTCTAGACTAGCTGAGCTGAATGGCGACTATCTTTCGTTACAAGCGAGAAGGAAATATTCGGATGGGATCCAGACCGGTTTGAAAAGATTAGGTGACGTGCTGAATCCTGCTGAACCGTTTTTGTTTCAATTTGACTTGATGCCGGGAGTCGACTCCAATCTTCAACCAGCTTCAACCACCCTCCCACCCCCCTTCTTCACGGCGCGCCCGTGAGCTCGCAATAGTCCATCCGCCATCTATGGTTCCGTGATGTAATAGATGTGATCAGGCCATGTGGAATTTTAAACTTGGCCAGGTCTTTGACCGAGCCACACCGCCCACTACCAAGCTTCGGGCTTGGGTGTGTTCCAGAAATGAAATCTCCTATTAAAGGCGGCTTTTCTCGTGCCTTAACTGCTGTCTCCATCCCACACCAGAAACAAACATCCCTTCACCAGCTTAACATTTGCCTCTACATCTTTTGACCAAGACAACACTCACCTAAACGAGAGCTCGGCAACGTTATCACTTTATCTGTCCCTGCTCACCTTCGATCAACACATTAACACCACCTCCACCCACCCTTTTTTCGTGAACTCTAGCTTATCCGCCTCATACTAACATGGCTGAACTTAATCTCTGCGCTTCATACTCCGCCCACAACAAAGCGGAATTCATCGTCGATGCTGTTTTGGTTAGCGATCACCTCTACCTCTGTTTGGGATTTTATTAACATCTTGTATCCTTTGCAGTTCGATATGGATGGAACTTTGGTAGACTCTATCCCTGCCATCGAGTCTGCATGGGCAGCTGTGGCCAAAAAAATCCAAAGGGATCCCGATGAAGTTATTGAAGAAACTCATGGTCGTCGTGTAATGGACAACTTGAAGGATCTTTACCCTCATCTTCGAAAGATGTCGGATGCCGACATGCAACCCCATGTCAAAGAATTCGAGATCGAAATTTTACGCCAAGCAGATGAATACGGAGTCGAAGTGAAATCTCGTCGATCGAGTGCCGCATCCAGCAAGCGTGCTTCGCGCTCCGCTTCTTTCGTCGGCAGCCCAGCTGAGACGTCCAGCCCAGCTGAGCCAAACAAGCCCCGCCGCAAGTCGAATCTCTCGAACAGCATCACTGCAGATGGAGTTGCCTCTCGAATGGCGGTAAGCCTTACACTTTTTTTAAACTCCCTTGATTTGGGTTGCTCACTTAACCACACATTCTACTCTGTTACTCCCAGGCCATGGGCCTCAAGCCTTTAAGTACCACCAACTCCAACACATCGATCAAGTCCCTTGACAAGCCTACGACAGAGCCCTCCCTGGCAGAAAGTTTAGCCAAGAAAAAGTTGTCCGCTCTCAACGCATCGGCTGCCGAAGATGTGTTTGAGGACGACCTATCTGACACCGAGCTTGAGATTGACGTCTCCGACCTTGTCGTAAGCCCCTACCTATTCGCAGATGCTGTTTTCATTCACTTATCCTTCTGAATGCCTTCTCTTTCAGGATCGCTCTGTGAGAATCCTCCCAGGAGTTCGCAAGTTGACCGACTCGCTCCCCACCGATCGATTTGCCATCGCAACTTCCGCTGCCGTTACTCACTGTCATGGTGCCCTCCAACGTGTGGGTATCAGCTTGCCCAAAGTGACGGTCACTGCTGACGACCCTCGCCTTGAGCGAGGCAAGCCTTTCGTGAGTCATTTACGCTTAGCCATAAGCAGTTCACAAGTATTAAAGCGTGTTATGTAACCTTTAGCCGGATCCTTTCATTCTCGCCGCTAAAACATTGGGCTTTGAGCCCAAGAACTGCCTCGTTGTCGAGGATTCGCCATTTGGTATTCAAGCTGGTGTTGCAGCCGGTGGAAAGACTATCGCTGTGTCCACCTCTCACTCCCATGACAAGAGTGCGTTCCTTCCACTACGTATCTTTCAACAATCACCTTCACTGACAAATCATTTCTTGCACTCTAGTTTCGCATTGTGGTGCCACTTGGCTCATCCCCACCCTTGAACTCGTTCAAGTAGAAATCCTATCAGATGGTAGAATCCGAATCTTCATTGACGCTACCGCTGCCCAGGTGGAGAAGGCCATTTCTGAATCTGTCCGTGGAAAGATTGCCGCTCAGCTGGTATAACCTTGGCACACTTTCATACTTTCTTGGCGCGCTTCTCATCGTTTCATCTCTCTCATGTTTCCATCTCTATCATCATTGTACCGTAGCGATCGATTTTCTTATCTGTCGCTCACCCCAGGGGGTTTCTGTCTGCTTGCCTGATCAACATCATACCACTTTGTAATGTCATGAGGATTTTTTCTTACTTTTTGAGGCGCCACCTCGCCGCGTCATTGCATCCTTTACAAACTGGAGATTATGATTCAACTGTCTGGCTCTATACATCAGAAGTACAGCCAGCTCTATACCAACATTGTCCAGATCGCAGGCCAGATCTGGCCTTCAGACTGTTTGTTCCACCGATCCACCGATGAGGGCACAACGGGTGCTTGATGACTGGTTTGTTACGATCACCGAGCGTTTTACATTGCATTTTGTCATGAGGCTTATAGATTTTGCAGCTATGGAATAAATTGTGTCTCACTAACCAGATTTTTCGAACGCTGTCCAGTTTGTTTGATCACCTTGCGGAAATTCACATTGTCTATCCCCCATCTTCAGAAAGTTGAATCAGTCAACATATTGCTTCGTTGCATTCGACCTTTTTTCACTTCAATTTCAATCCAACTTTTTCAATCCTGTAGCTCAACAAAAGGCTAGTCCAATTCACATAGATGCGTGTGGAATGAATGAAACCTACTCGGGTCATATGTAATAGCAAAAGATGAAACGATGAGCTGCACAATTAAACTTGTCGAAACCATTTAAGTAAATAGTTCGATTCCACATATACGATACTGGCGGCTTCATAGTGAGCTGCTATTGCAGAGTTGTACGTAATGTAACAAGAAAACCTACCCAAAACATCGGTGAATCAGCAAGCCAAGCTGACATCATATCTGACAATCCTGTTTCGGTATCTTCAAGGTTATAGGTCAGATACGTCTCCTACTTGCACGCATTCACCAGGTTCCTCATGAATCGAGAGTGGATATTGGTTATTGGCTCCTTAACCATACATCTATGGTCTAAGAAGATACATTTTCAATTATCTTTGTTAACAACTGTTTCGAGCTTGGACTAAATCCCTGCTTGACGTCGGAGGACCATGAATTCCGACCTTTCTCGGAGGAACTAGTACGTCACTGAAGAGCTAGTTGTTTCCTGATGAAATCCCTTCTTGATGCTCCTCGTTTCTATCGCAACAACATTCGTGTCTTTATCATTACACGAAAGCAATGGTAACCGCTCCCGGTATTTGCCCACTCGAGACCCGTTACTAGTGCGACAGATAAATATACTGAGGTTTCTTTGGGCGAGCTAAATCGCCTCCTCGTCATCAAACTTCCAGCTTGTGAGACTTCGCGCCAGAGATGTTATTACCTATAAATCCGTCTCTTATCGTAGCCCTTACCGCTCGTTTGCTACCACCACATTTTGCAAACCCACCTTACACGACTGCCTTTTAAGCTCTGCTACTTCATCTGTCCCTGCTCAACATTGATTAGAACATAGCGCCTTTATCAACGTTCCTCTTTCTCTTAACTCCGTTCCACACTAAAAACATGGCCGAACTCAATCTATGTGCCTCATACTCCGCCCACAACAAAGCGGAATTTATCGTTGATGCCGTGTTGGTAAGCTACTATATTTCGATTACACAAATTCGAGATTTCCTAACAACCAATGTCATTTTCAGTTCGATATGGACGGTACCTTGGTAGACTCCATCCCTGCCATCGAGTCTGCATGGGCGGCTGTGGCCAAAAAAATCCAAAGGGATCCCGATGAAGTTATTGAAGAAACTCATGGTCGTCGTGTAATGGACAACTTGAAGGATCTTTACCCTCATCTTCGAAAGATGTCGGATGCCGACATGCAACCCCATGTTAAAGAATTCGAGATCGAAATTTTGCGTCAAGCAGACGAATACGGAGTCGAAGTGAAATCTCGCCGATCCAGCGCCGCATCCAGCAAACGCGCTTCACGTGCCGCCTCTTTCGTTGCAAACGGTGAACCAGGTGACGCAAACAAGCCCCGTCGCAAGTCAAATCTCTCGAACAGTATTACTGCCGAAGGAGTTGCCTCGCGAATGGCAGTAAGCTTTGCACTCCCTCTGACGTTTGTTGATCTAAGCTATTCACTCAACAAAACATTCCCTATGCTCCCCTTTTAGGCCATGGGGATCAAGGCTCTAAGCACTACGGACAAGACCGCGCCAGAGGTCAACAGTGCTGAGAAGGAGTCATCTGCTCTCGACGCCTCGGCTGCGGAAGAAGTGTTTGAGGATGAGATATCTGACAGCGAGCTTGAGATTGATGTCTCCGACCTTGTTGTAAGTTGCAACACATCACAAGCTGTCATTCAATCGCTCAGCCTTACTGATCACACCAAGCACTGTCTTTGTTACAGGATCGCTCCGTGAGAATCCTCCCAGGAGTGCGCAAGTTGACCGACTCGCTTCCGGTCGATCGGTTTGCCATTGCAACTTCCGCTGCCGTTACTCACTGTCATGGTGCCCTCCAACGGGTTGGTATCAGCTTGCCAAAAGTGACGGTCACTGCTGACGACCCACGCTTGAAGCGGGGAAAGCCTTTTGTCAGTGATTTTCTTTTTACCGCAATCAGCCCTTCAAGAACTAAACAATGTCACTCAATCGTTCTTAGCCGGATCCTTTCATTCTCGCCGCCGAAACGTTGGGCTTTGAGCCCAAGAACTGCCTTGTGGTTGAGGATTCGCCATTTGGCATTCAAGCTGGTGTTGCTGCTGGTGGAAAGACCATTGCCGTTTCGACTTCCCATTCTCATGACAAAAGTGAGCTTACCAGACCAGTTTCTAGCTGGCCTCATAAACTGATCAAGTTACTTGCTTCACTCTAGTCTCTCATTGCGGTGCCACGTGGCTCGTCCCCACGCTTGATCTAGTTCAAGCAGAAATTCTACCAGATGGTAGAATTCGGATCTTTATTGACGCTACTGCTTCTCAAGTGGAAAAGGCGATCTCTGAATCTGTCCGTGGAAAAATTGCCGCTCAGCTCGTCTAACGTGTAGTCGGTCTCATACCTGCCTGGCGCTCCTCTTTATCGTTGTATCTTCATCACAGTTGTAAAGGTTACAAGTTTCGTATGTGATAGCACACCCACAAAGGGTTTTTTTGTAATGTTGCTTCCAGGTGCTGCAAAATATGAGTCTACATAGAGTCGTCGCCGTACCCAAATACAGTGCTTTGAAAAACAAATGGCCTCATACAATTGACTTTGTGCCTTGTTCCATCGAGGGCCTACGTTACTTCGAATTCTGCATCTTCTACACAGACGCCAAGTCATCTTCCCATAAGTCTGCATGAATGAGACCATTTTGAGATCATGCAAACTTGTTTTGATCTTCAACAGGTAGCTACTTTTACTTAGCAAAGCATCGAGCAAAAACCCTAGACAACAAAATCGCGACATATCTTCCGCTGGACCATGTCTGTCTGTTCTTCTTTATTTCTCAACAGATCCCTGTTTTGCTTATATGTTTCATGCTCAACTATCCTTGGTCCTTGGTAATGCAAGGGCTGCCTAGTTTCCCTGAAGTGTACAGGTACCTGACTTCTATCACAACCACTGAAAACCTTACGTTTTCTATCTTCCAGAAATGGGAACACGAAACTTACTATGATACTTTAGTGAAAATACTAAAGTAGTCAGAGACAAAGGTGTTTGGGTGAAAATCCCAGGCGGAATTGCCCGGGGTAAATTCCTGTCATGAGAACAACAACCCCCCTACGGGGTGGCCAGCGGACATAACAAAATAACTAAGAGCATCCGCACTCGTTTGCGGTTGTTAACTTGGTCACGTGCGGTAACAACCGCTACATTAAGCAAAAAATGACTTAACTCAGCCAAATTTCGCACTCGTTTGTGTTAGTAGCACTGTAACGTTTGTAACTTTACCGATAATGCATGTGCTCCACAGTGGTCATGCAGTAAGGTAACATTCAATTTTTCAAGTACGATTTCAAGTTTAAGAAAACAAAGGCTATATTTGAATACATCTATTGATCTTGTGAAAATTATAAAGATTTGAAACTACACAAGAAAGATGAACAATCTGAACCAATCCAAACTTTTTTTAATGTTTGATTCAGCTTTTTTCAACTGTTTGGTTTGTATCTCTTGATCTTAAAAGTCTTCCAGTCATTAGTCTTTAGAATTCAATTTTCTCATCTATCTCTATACATATGTGAAGTCTGAAATTCTTCATATTGATTCGATTGGTTTGAAGTCGAGTTGAAGATTTTCAAACGACCTATTTTAGAACAAAAAAACAAAAAAAACAATCGTAAAAACATCGATTGGTGTTAAAAGGTCTTGATTCAATTCATGTGACTGGGTGAGAGAGGTGAAAAGACGATGTTTGTTGTTGACTTTGGTATTGGAGATTGGGCTGAGTTGAGTTTTTGGAGTTGTAGTTGCTGTGAACAGGTCGTGATGTGTGCTACCGCATGCGTTAGCCAATCGGTAGATTTACCGATTCGCTAACGCAAACTGATGAAAAATTAACTACCGCGGGGCTAATTGTTCACCGGTGCGGAAAAGACCCCGCGGTTGCGTTAAATTTAACCTTACCGCACTCGATTTACCGCACGAGTGCGGATGCTCTAACTAACGCGCCTAATAACAAACATCACTGCTAAAAAATTGCGAAAACTAGAACCATAAAAAATATCCGCCATTCTTGATAAAAATATAAACTACCATTAAAGAATAAAAAATAAACTCAGATGAAATCAAACGGAAAATAATGTTTTTTTTTTTTTTTTTTTTTTAGCTACCCATAACCAAAACTACTAAAACGAAAACATAACACTAAGGGAACCACAAAGGGAGGGAGGGCCAGCAAAATATAGATCTTAACACGATAAAGCTTTTTAATACTAATCTCTTCTTGACTAAGAATTGTTGGAACTTGATGAAGGTAAACTGAATGGAAAGGAAAATCGATGAGTGATAAACAGCCTGTGACATCATCATCTAAAATGAAGATGATCAAACAAAGATCCGACCCGTTAGCTATCTCATCGGTATCAAAATTACAGCTCCGATTTTCCCCATTCCATTCTGTTAATAACAAGTTACCAACGTCAAGAAATGGGAACACAAAACTTACTATGATACTTTAGTGAAAATACTAAAGTAGTCAGAGACAAAGGTGTTTGGGTGAAAATCCCAGGCGGAATTGCCCGGGGTAAATTCCTGTCATGAGAACAACAACCCCCCTCTCCGACCCGCCTATGAAAAACCGGTATGGAAAGAGTGGTGAAGAAGGAGAGGGGGAAACGAAAAAAATCAAAATAAACAAAACAGCAAAGTCAGCTTTCAATATCATGACAAGCTTTTGATAGCACCCAAAACCGGCCTAAAGCCTAAGAAAACTCAAGAAAGGAATCAGGCATAAAGCCTCAGATCCGGCTCGAACATGAATAAAAAGGTTGAATGCAACCATTGACCGACACAGGACCAGGTATAAAACCATAGACCAGTCCAAACAATTTTCTACTGACTCACAAATTATTACGAAAAGGAAACTTTGGCTCCAATGTGCGATGAATGCCCGATTATATGGTTGTTTCTACCGGGTAAGCGTAACGCAACATGGCCACGAACATAAATTAGAAAAGCGTCGGATGACCAACGCCCGGCGCTTTTTATGTCATCCATCGAAAACCCCGCCTGTGCTAACGCTGTTGCACCGCCGGAACGTAGAGAGTGTCCTGAAAAACTTTTGTCGAAAAAAGAATAGAAGCGGCTGAGGAACCATGAACAAGTCGGGTAATTGCCTTTTGAAGTTAAAAATAAAGCCGTTGAAGAGATGAAATTCGTATCCCTGGCGCGTAGATAAGATTTTAATAGACGAATTGGACATGCTGTCGTGTTCACAAACTTTCTGAACACAATTTGAGAACCTAGAAATTTTGAGTCGGATTTTGAATAAGGAAGATCATATTGAACAAATTGGCCGCATTTTGAGAATTTTACCGAAGACCAAAGGATAAGTTTTCTAGCGTCAAATAAATTGTCTGAATCAGGTATAGTCAGTTCTCCTAATCTGTGAAGACCCGCGAAACCAACACCCAATAACGCTAGGAAGAGTTTTTCGTCAAAAGAGGAAGATGACTTTGATACCACTAGTTCTAGTTGATCCACTGTGAGTGGCCGTTTTCTTAACACCGGTTCTGAAAACTCCATCAAGCAATGTTTCATCACTCCTCTAACATCTTGATGTCTCGTTTCGCAAAGGACAGAAGGAAAATTTAAATTGAAGATATGACCGATCCCAACTAAATAGGCTTGAACCGATCTTGGCGAGATCTTTCGACTTGTATAAGAGACATAATCACATAAGTTTTGTACATTTGGGATAAACGGCTGATGAAATTGGACACAGAATTTTGAGAAACTTTTAAAACCACACATGTATTTGATAAGAGAAGATTTGCAGACTGTTTGGCGTTTATCTTGCTTTGATAACGCTCGTAATTCGACTAATGTGATGTTTTTTAGAGCATCATTCTTCTGCTTTGATCTGCCCATGGAATAACAGGAGAATTGTAAGTGAAAAGGTTAGAATCTTTCCCTCCGGATAGAAGAGATGAATTAAGAAAGAAGTGTAAGGATGAAATCGCATCGATTTTATGACATAAATTATCTGAATCTTTTTCGGATAGGATTGAGTGTTGGCGAGATAATTCGTCGGCTTTCTTATTGAAATTCTTTGAGATGTGCATAACTTTTAAATCAGCTTTCGCTTCCAATAAGCAATTAACCGCGTGCCTGAATAGAGGTCTAACAATTCTATTAGGGCAATGTGAACTGAAAAGGTCAAATACAAGATGACTGTCAGTGTAAATGAAGATTCGTTTACTACCGTTCCTAATGCTGATCTCTATTGCTGAAATCACACCGAAGAGCTCCGCCCAATAGATGTTTCTAGGTGGAGGCGGGATGATCGCATAACGACCAATTCTAGGGCCAGGTTCCCAAATTCCGATGCCTGTCATGCATGCGTTGGTAAAAAAGACTGAGTCCGCGTCCTGCAAGCCCCATCTTATCATTGAAAGGACTTGAACTCCATCTGCATTCTCAAAGTAGTTAATCAGCCATCTAATGTCTGATTGGTTTTCTTTATTTAAAGGAATATGAAGAAGTTTGATTGCTTTTCCACCAGTCTTCTCATATAAGCTTTGCAGCGCGAAACGACCCCATGGCATCGAAGTGCAGGCCCAAGATGCTGAACCTAGAATCGTTTGCCAATCTTTTAGCAAATGTTTCGGTTCTGAAACAAAATCAATTAGTTGTTTCACTAAGATGGATTTTTTCTCTGGTTCTAAATACATAAGCATTCTTTCCGAGTCCACCACATGGCCAATTATCTCTATGCATGTTCCGTGGATTTGTTTTTTCCAAACCCACGGGAAACCGAGGATATCAAAAAGATTCAAGAGCTTAGCTTGTGGAAGAGGGATACGGTGACCTTTGAATGTGGTGAAATGTTTTGCAGAGCACACTCCCCAAACATCGTCCATCATGTTGTTCAAATATTTGATTTCGAACACAAATTCGGCAATCCAAAGAACTAGAGAAAAGACACCACACCATATGAATGGTGAGGCTGATGAGCCAAATGTCAAACAGTGGTCCATTCGATGCTTCTTCTTGATTTTCATTACTTGTCGTAATTGATATTGAAAATGTAAAGGCATTGTTCGAAAGGCGTTCTCGATGTCTGATTTAAATAAGATAACCTCTTTGAATTCTTTTTTCATTTGAATAAGGTAAGGCAAAAATGTTTTAAGAGAATCGTATGCTGGCTTGATGTCCTTTTTGTTAATTAAATCATTTGGTGAAGGGACACCGGCACTTAAGTTTGAACACACACGCATTTTTGTTGAATTCTTCTTAGAAACCATTAACAATGGAATCACTTTCATGCCTTCTAGAAGTGTTGAGAATTCTTCTGAATATCTACCGGCTTCAATTTCCGGTTGAACTTGTTCTTCTAATAATTGTTGATGCTCGTCGCTCGAAATATGATTTGGAATTTCTTGGATTTCCGACGTTGGAAGTGAAGAACATGGCCAAAAACCGTGGCGTAGACCTTTTAAGACCGAGTTCACGAATGGTCTATTGGGATGACGGACTAGGAGAGTTTCAAGCTTGTCAATTTTAATTGGAGTGATAATTTTGAAAAGGTAGTGATATTGTTTCAACGCGTAAGCTGCGTTTATGTCTTCCGATAGAGGAGGGGGGTCTGGGAAGGGTTTAGCGTAAATGCTGGATTCAATTGCCGGAGATGAACCCAAAGGATTCACACCATCCCAAACATACCCTCGAAGGAATTTTTGGGAAATGTTTTCCGAGTTCTCTTCCTCATCAGCGATATCCATTTTTGATGATGGTCTAAATAAATACTTAGATGTCAGTTTCTGGCGCTAATGTCTCATTCAACCCTTTCTATCCTGAATATAAATAAAGAATACCTACCCTTCCATCGAAGATGAATCATTGCTTTCCATGATCTTTTCCTTCATGATCAGTTCTGTTTTTACATCCTCTGACGTTCTGCAAAAGTAATAACTCAGATGTCAGAATTCTTAAGATTCATGGAAAAACCTTTGCATACAAGTATAAATTAAGAATAGAAAAAATAAGAGAAACACCAACACATCGATGTTGGCGGGGACAACCCTTGCCAAGCGAGCAATGCCCAAGGTTGTAAGCAAAGCAGTAAGTTTCTTCATCCCGCATGTTCCTAGTGTCCTCGACAGGGTGGACGCCCCCATGTTTATAAGTGTGCTTATAATACAATGGAGAAGTTGGATTCGGAGTGAAGTTTTGATTTTGAAAAGGTTTGACCATACGCGACAAAGATTGGAAAGGTTGGCGCCCACTCGTCGAAGCCACTGGAACATGTTGTTCCTCAAAAGCTCGAGACATGAACCGTGTTGAAAGTGACGCCAGAGACGGGTGATTCCAATCCGCGAATGATAAGCTTGGTTCGATTGCCAATTCTTCTCGAATTGCTGCATCATACTCCGCAACGCAAGTCCAGTTAGCTTTCGTTGCACCGGACATAAACTGATTTTTGATGAATTTTGCATATTTTTCGAAATCTTGGAAACAGCTTGGAAATGCTTCTTGGTAAGTTTGCTCCAGAATGTCGAAATAGAAAAACCATTCTTGCGCGTCCATGAGCTTAGTTGACATCGGTTTGTTTCGAAGCTCCAAGTCTTTTGTGTTCGTTGCCAAAGTGAGAGGAGCAGCTTGACCTTTTTTCGAAGCCAAGAGTTCTCCTTTGATGCGTCGTAAGTCGATGTAATCCCCCTGAAGCAGCTCCTTTGATAAATTCTTTGAAAAATTCTTTGGTTTGACAAACCGATTGAAACCTGCCACCGCCTGTTTGATGTGCGATGAATAGCCTCAAACTGCATCTGAGAAACGAATCGCTCCTTCCGAATAGTTAGCTCGGGCTCTAGGACCAGATTCCTTCCGTTCCATCCAGTCCCACTTTTTCTCCATTTTCCTTTTCTTCCCATCAGAATCTGAAGAATTGTACTCTTCCGGATCACTCTTATGGTTCTCGTCATCATGTTTTTTACGCGCTCGTTTTTTAGGAACGACAATGGGAGTGGCTGAGTGAGATCTGGAAAGGTTACCGATCCTTGAATCCAAAAGATTTCTTGCCACTTGGGCGTCATCAATTTCCTTCTGGGAAAGGACATAAACTGCTCTATCTCGGGAATGATCTTCATGTTCTCCCGGACGTTGGCTTTCATTGCGATTACTCGGTTGGTTGCTTCCATTCCGAACAGTCGTATGTTTGCTGCTAATGACTTGATCACCCGGATATGTTGGATTCGTGGCTGGGTCAAAAATAAAGACCGGGTCATCTTCTGATAGAACAGGCCTGGTAGGAACAGGTCCTTCATTTTCGTAGACGGTACGTCCTGCTTCTCTGTCGATCTTGAGAAGGTTCGACGCGAATGATGACCATTGGCGATACCAGTTAGGCGCGTCATATGGGATGATTTTGGAGAAAGAATATCTAATGGTCTCCATTGAAGTGCTGTTGGAACCTCCATCTGAGATATATTCAGATGTAAGGAGTTCCAGTTTGTCGGTAACTTCCTTAGCAGCTTCAAAATCAAAGTCTTCGTCATCACTCATTTAGAAATTAAAAAACCGTTTTATTGATAACCGTTTATAATAGAGAGATAGTGGCTATTGGACTTTATCTTAAGACACCCAGCAAAATATAGATCTTAACACGATAAAGCTTTTTAATACTAATCTCTTCTTGACTAAGAATTGTTGGAACTTGATGAAGGTAAACTGAATGGAAAGGAAAATCGATGAGTGATAAACAGCCTGTGACATCATCATCTAAAATGAAGATGATCAAACAAAGATCCGACCCGTTAGCTATCTCATCGGTATCAAAATTACAGCTCCGATTTTCCCCATTCCATTCTGTTACAGCCGTTCTCAATAAGGTTGCTTTTTTTTAATTTTTTTTAGGAGGTTGAGGGGTGTTAGGGTTGGATTTTACTGGCTTTTGTATCAGACACCGCCAGATCCAACTGTATCGTTCCATCTCATACGTCATCTCACTGCAGCCATCCCTTTCCTCTCGATCATTCATCAGCATTCATCCAACCTTTCCTTCATCTGTCTATCATTGTTCTTCCAAATGGCTCCACCATTTCCTTCCCAAATCAACAGCTTGGCAACAGCTCCAACCAACGATGAGATCGAGATCTTAAACTCAACACGCTTGACAAATCAACACGCAAATCTTCGCCAACAGGTTCATATTGATCCGGCCCACCGCAATATGGATCATCGTCGCAATCCAACAGCCACAAACTTGGTAGCGGCAGATCAAGCTAGAGGTATGTTAACCTTTTATTCCATATCTGTGTTCTTCGATCAAATGCTGACAATTTTTTCCATCCTTTTGCATCAAGCTTTGACTAACTCGATCTACCAGGTGCGTGAAATCCGACGTGAAAGGTTTGCTGCAGCACAGGGTGTTGAGAACTCTGAAATTGGTGAGTGGATCTCTTTGGATTTGTATTGATCTTTCAAACCAAGTTTTACTGATTCACTCTGTCCTATCAACAGCTCATCGTGACCCCATGCTGGACCATCGCGAGGCGCCTATTCACAGGACCGGAAACTTCAGCAGTGCTCTGGCCGACCCTCAACAGTGTGGAGCTAGACCCACCTACCACCCTACATGTGGCCTCCTTCAAGTTGGATTGGGACGTCTCACTGTCCCTTCACCACCTCCAAAGCCGCACCAAGTTCAAATGAATCCTCGAGTCATACCTGATCAGCGTCCCACCGAGTTACCAGTGAAAATGGTCACCCTCCGACTCTTTCACGAGGCTTATTTTCATGGGCCAAAGGACACAAATCGTCCTTCAACTAGCAGATCTTCATCTAGAAAAGCCACTGAAAAATTCGTATGGAACTGTGACAAAACCGACAAGAACGATACCGGACCTGAGAATTGCATCACAATCGATTTAAATCATATAACACCTCAAGCTGTGATCGACTTGATGGTGGGATCTCTCAACCATCTACAAGCCGGTCTTGGTACCTACTTAATCAACGTCTCTGCACCTCAGTCAGTTACTTGGCTTGGTGTCAGTCTCACACCAAAATGTCACTTCCGCGATCAGAAATACAACCTTCAAAACAGCATTGAATGGAACAGTTTCAAAGGACTAGCCGATCATTCCACTCAAGCTAGCTCTGCTGGACTTTTGGCTCAAATGGCAAATCCCGATGTTCAGATTGCTGCCGCACAAAGAAAAGAAAAGAGAGGGAATTACTTAGGTTCTTGGAATACTCAACGAGCTGTTGTGAATAATCAGCCAAGTGGTTCAGCAGCCGCTTTGTCAATTACCACCGAAAACTCACCTTCGGTTGTCACTGCGGCTTTAAAAGCTCAACTCACTAAGAACGGTACTGAACAATGTCGATACAGAGATCCCATCGATAACAAGAAATGGTCAATCATGACTCCTCGCAAGATCAAAATCTGGGTTGATCAAATTGTAAGTCTGATCTTTTTGAGATCAATCATGTTTCAGGTTTGCTGATGGAAGTCTAAATTTTCAGATTGCAGCACATAACAATGGGCGCACGGACGTTGATATATACACTCCTCCCAAAGAACCTGCATTCAAGACTTTTCTCAACGGAAAAGTTCCTCCGGGCTATGTGGAGTTTCCAAATGATCCCCCACCAGCAGGGTTCATGGCTTTGGCTCCAACACCTTTGGCACCACCAACATTCCCCTTGGCGGCCCCAACTCAAGTACTTGATGATTGTATTTATCAAAAGAAGTATTCTGGAAACATGGAAGACTTCTTAGAATACGCGGAATTCCTTCCAAGTGATACTAGCTTGAGGGCGAGCTTGAGTCAGGCTCATTACACTCGGTGGAGTGATCTCAAGCCAACCACCGATATGAACCTTGCCAAATTGAACCGAATTGGAATCCCTCCAGGCGATGCAAGCCATTTAATGGCTTGTGCAGTTAGGTATCAGGGATTCTTGATGGCAAAACTTGCTGCTATTGATGCGCAACAGCTTTGATCAATTCTTTTTGTATGTTGTTTCTTTTGTTCTTTGTTACGATCTGATTCAATTGTAACTTTTCTCCTTTGTTCTTTCTCCTGATCTGCTTTGATCACTTGGTTTTTATTTTGTTCTTCATCACAAACTGCTCTGAGAGCTTGTTGTTGTTTTTTCTTTTGTTCTCATTTTGATATGCGACATTTACTCGTTATTGTTATTTTTCTCTCTCTGTATCATGTGTCTTTGACACAAAGAATGTCCTGCCTTGCTAGCTCTATTTGTAATCTGTACAATAAAACATTCAAAAAACAAGGTTTTTGTTTGACTTTGCACAATCAAACCAGTGTGGTTGATCCAAATCCGCTCTTTTGACGAGTTTCTTTCATGATAATATCAAAGTTTTATTTCGTACATGAAGTCAAATTGATAGTAACCCCTCTCAAAACAGAACCATCATTTTGAGGTATGACAAAGCGAGACATCGAAATGTATGATCATTTGCATTTTTTATTTATAAATTGTGATTCAATTAAAAAAGTCTGAACATGGAAACATGAATAAGAAGTACAAAAAACCTGCTTTTTGCAAACCAATCCCTCATTATCAATGTTGTCGGACTTGAACCCAGCTAAAGCTAATCTGCAGCTATATTCCATTGAATTGGGTTGAATGATACTTGTTTGACAATTTGTTAAAATACCTATTGGGGTTTATATCTGAAAACACTCACTGAAATGTCAGAGGTACGCAAAGTTACACTTATGAAGCAGACCCAAATCGTTTAATTCACAATCAGCTTGTGAAAGATACAATAGATCCAGAAATTAATTCTAGTATGGCATAGTCAACTTACACGTCAAAGATATATTGATCCGGCATAAAGGCTACGGATGAGCTCGGGAGTCAGTGCTTCTTCGGCATGACGATAAATCACCTCCACTTCCTCTTCTAGCGACATATTTTCTTGTAGGTCACCACTTCTTCGAAGTCGAGATTTGATGATATCGAATGATTTCTCTATTGGATTGCAATCAGGGGCGTATGGCGCAAGGTAGAGTATCCGAACACCAAATTGCTCGCAAAGGTCCTGAACCATTCCACCATGATGGATGGGTGCATTGTCCAGGACAAGCACACTGTTTTCGGCCGGGTAAGGGTTCATCATTGGAAGCTGATGTAGAAGACATGGTAAATCAGTTTGATTCAAAGACAGAATGTATGAATTGTGGTACTTACCAGATGATGTGACAAAAAATACTCTAAATCGTCCCGCAGAATTGAACCCTCCTGAACAATCATTCCAAGACACCCAGTCAAAGAGATGGCAGGTAACAAAGAAAATCGTCTTGATTGTAGAGTCCGAGGTAGGCGCTTGGTTCGTTCACCTCGTGGTGCTCGAGCTTTCAGTCGGTAAAGCCTACGAGCTTGGATTGAACTCTCATCTACCAATAAACAATTCAGCACAAAGTTGAATAACAACAACATGATGATTGGTATGCTTTCTTGATGTGTGATTGTTGAGTCATGAATAGATACATCCAAGACTAAGGTTCGTTCAATTCCACCAAAACCAGTGAGGTTACACACCAGTTGTAAACCTCACTGGTTCACAAGGTGATCAGAGCTCTGCACCAGTCAGAGGTTAATCGACACTTATGGAATGTGAACTTATCCTGTTATCTTGAGGTGCATTTATTCACAACTCTAGGATCACACATCAAGAAAGGAAGCTCACCTAAGAAGACAAGGCATGCCGGATCAATTGATCCAACTTCATATACATACCGTGCTACCTCTAATTCATCTCGATTTGGGTGGACAGTCTTTGGCACCTTCAAGGTTAGACCCAGACGATCACGAACCTCACGAGCTAGAGTAGGAACCGTGATTTGAATACCTCGTTCAATTGCAAGTTGTTGTGCAATCTTGTCAAGATAAAGAGTTGGCTCTGCATCGATGGCATCTTCAATGAATTTACGGTGCTCATTTGACAAAACAGTTGGCCTGCCACGAGGATCATAGAAGTCTGGATCCGAGATGACTTGCTGAGTATCATGGAATAGATCGAGCCATCGAGTCAATGAATCGGGCGATACTGTCATTCCAAGGTCGTCATTGATTGTTTCAAGTGTATTACCGCGAAGAGCCTTGCGGATGACAATGAATTTGACATCGGGCGAGTAAAGGACAAACGGTATCGCGAGAAGGGAACCACTGTGGAAGAAGAAAGAATAAAATCAACAAACGAAAGAAGAATAATTGAGGATTGAGATTGGGACTGACCAGAAGTACTGACAAATTTGTGGAGAGTCCAAAGAGATCTGGAGAACCAGTTGGTACGAGAGATGAGAGAGGCTATAGGTGGATGATGAAGTCGATAATGAGATCGAGGTCGAGGTTGAGATAGGTCGAGGTCAATGCGATTGAGAGTTGAGACTGAGATCGGGTCCGATGGGTTATTGCCTGATAATACTGTAAAATCCAACCCTAACTCCCATCAACCGCCTAAAAAAAATTCAAAAAAAGCAACCTTATTGAGAACGGCTGTAATAACAAGTTACCAACGTCAAATCATGTACCAAGCAAAACTTGATACTTGATCACCTCTGCTGCACGCAATCAACCTTTACTTTGCAAACCATTTACAATTTCATTCCAGTCCTTGTTCTTTGTCTCTTTACCGGATTATAAAGGTGAATGTCCTCGAGTAGCGCTTATATTGAAGAATTATTTGATTCCCATTCAACTCGTCAAAATCCATATCAGATTCCTTTTGCGAATTGATCACACCAATGAATTTTGAAACCAAGATTATCAAATTCTTTTCAGCTCGAGTTGCTTCTTGATTACTTTGAAAGATGCCTATCAGACAGGCACTTCTCCTCTTCCGTGCTTTCGAGGGTTGTTGCCTCTTTTTACCCGTTGGCACTGAGGGAATCGCTCGGTTGATCTGCAAGACTCAAACAATCCAAAGGTGGTGTTGTGGTCTTGATTTGTACGTACCCAAATACCGCACCGCGTTCGAGATGAATTTGAGGGTGTTACTTTTGATACACAAGGTCGTTGTGATCTCTTTCAACTGCATTCAGACATACCCACGATGAAGATGATGCTGAATATAAACAGTATGCTGATCATATCTTGAAACTTTCACCGCCCGTGTCAGCTTTGCAAGGATTAGTGGCATGTGGAAGTGGCAAGTTTAAGCGAGATATTTATGCATCCTGCTGTCACTGAGCATACTTTGCATTTTGACTATGGATGAATTGGATGAAAAATGTGATACTAAACCAGGTCTCTGAGTTTGTGCTTCCATGAAGAGAAACCCACGTGAATGATTTCCAAGAGAGCACAAAGATACTTGTCCGTCAAGGTCTTTCAACTTTCCCAAATGCCTTTGATATATACAGAACAACTTCTTCACTGCCTATTATGATGAACATCAAATATATCGTTGTGATCATGATCATGGGGATGTTTGAACGATTCTTGTGTCATATCCTGATGTGGTAAGTGTACATAGTCCATACATACATGGTCTGAGAAGCGCAAGTTGTGGTCGCAGTCCGTGGAATGGTCGAGAAACTGCGGTTAAGGGGCTTAAGCTCCCCTACATAAACTCCGATTGTCTTAAAATTTTGTCCAAGTTTTTTTGAAGTCATCCGCTCCGGTTCACTCATCATTCCGATTCACTTCGTCAATCGCCTTCAACACTTGTTAGATATATACCCTTTTACTCTAATCTGATTCATTCACCTTTACCGAATATCGGTCTTTTCTCAACCCCATTGTCCATGTGCGAGCCTCTTCATAATTCGTTTCATTTCATTCATAACAATTGCTTCTTGACATGATAATCTGATCTGACCTTTCGCTTTTGCTTATCTTCTAAAATGGTTTTCAACGACCTATTCTACTATCCTCATTACCCCTCTAGGCTGGGGCATACCGGCACATCTACTCACGACAATCTGCTTTACTGCCTGCTTTCGTCGGGCCCTACGACCGCTTAAAACTCATTTCGAACATAGAACATCTTGAATACCCTTTATTACCCTTTCCACACAAACTATGCCTTATTCGTGTACATCGGCCTTGCGATCTGGTCGCCTTCTTCGACTCCAGGGCCTACCTCTGACACGTTCTCTTGCTTCGGCTGCACATGCCACCAAGCCATGCATCGATTCTGATAATTCCATTCCTGAGCCCTCTACGGATGGGCGCCCTGCCACGCTTCACCTCAAATCCGGTCATACCTTCACTGGTCGTTCGTTTGGTGCACCCATATCTAAATTCGGGGAAGCCGTCTTCTCAACCTCGACAACCAGGTTAGTCATTTGACACTCGGCTCTTTGCTGCCTCATGCTCATCAGTTAGACTGACTACTCTCTCTGTACGCAGTTACCCGGAATCTATGACCGATCCATCCTACCGCTCACAGATATTAGTATTCACCACACCGATGATCGGAAATTACGGTATACCAGTCAACAGACTTTCGGCTTCGCCTATGCCCGTCCCAGGCTCTCCAGACTTGTTCTTGGAGTCTGACCGCGTCCAGTGCGCTGGTGTGGTGGTGGCAGAGGTCGCCGACAAATTCTCTCACTACCAAGCCATCGAATCAATCAGTAACTGGTGCCACCGCTTTGGTGTTCCCGGTATCACCGGTGTTGACACACGCGCCATCACCTCGCTCCTTCGACAGCAAGGTACCACCCTTGCCAAGATTGCAGTAGGCGATGAGCATTCAACTGTTGTTGCACCTGATCAATTTTGGGATCCGAGCAAGGTCAACTTGGTCGCTGAAGCTTCAACCAAGACACCCTACACACTCAATCCAAGTGGCTCTGTGTCTATCGCCATGCTCGATTTTGGCGCCAAAGCCAACATCGCACGATCCCTCGTCAAAGAAGGTGCAGCAGTGACCGTCCTCCCCTGGAATACCCCCAGTTCAGCTATCATCGGCAAGTATGACGGCCTATTTTTGAGTAACGGCCCCGGAGACCCAAAACACGCCGGTGAGGCTGTACGCACCGTTCAAGAGGTTATCACATCCTCTTCAATGCCTATATTTGGTATTTGTATGGGTAAGTCTTATGCTTTCAATTTGTTTAGCTCTGGCCGTATGGCCCTATTCTCAGCACTCATACCTTGCTCTTGATCAGGTCACCAAATCATTGGCTTGGCTGCTGGCTTGGATGCCTACCGAATGCGATTCGGAAACAGAGGCCATAACCAACCTGTGTTGGCTCTTGCAGACTCCGGTTCAGTAAAAGCTGGCCGTGTTTTCATCACCTCCCAAAATCATCGTAAGTGCCAACCACGCCTTCGCTATGCATTTCCGCAGGCCACTGACTTGTGATTGGAATGATAGAATACGCCATTGAATTGCGTGACCCATTTCCAGCTGGATGGGAGCCCTTTTTCATCAAGTGAGCGATGTTCCTTCCAGTTGTGTCCCCCTGTTTTGCTCTGACCATCCCTTGTTAACCTTGCGCGTTCTAGTTGTAATGACTCTTCAGTTGAGGGCATTAAATCTACAGACGAGAGTGGCAGGAAAGTTTGGGGGTATGTGCTGCTCAATTTCTCCCAGACCACAAGAACATCTGATCTAACACATTCTTGTGATATCACAGCGTTCAGTTCCATCCCGAAGCTGCTGGTGGACCCCTTGATGTGATGGGCATGTTTGTGAGTTATTTTTCTTCATCTTCTAACTGAGTTCACACCCACTGAACGATCTTGTACATCAGGGCGATTTTGTCAAAGAATGTCGGGCGAACAAATAAAATTTCTTCCTATGCCATAGCGCATCATACCCAATCCCGGTCGTGAACGACTTCAAAATAGCAATGCCCGCCACGATTTCTCCGATCGGCAGATTTCCTTTTAGCGTTGTATTTCAATTCTCTTCCCGTTTTCTTTCACCTACACTCGTCTCATCATGGTTTTATTGCAGTTTTCCGTATACCTATGATTTCTGTGATCTATCTAGCATGTTTGACCAATTCAAAATAGCATTCTAATCTACTCTATGAGGAAGTGTGACGATAAAAATGAAGTGAATAATTTAGCTTTGCATGCCACGCTAGTGTGCTGAATCCCAGCTGGATTGATCATGTGCAGACGTGATCATCGCGTGTTTATCAGTGCCTTTCTGTCCTGACTACCTGTGCGAGAGGTTGAGCAGGAGATCTATATTGTTTCAGGCCATCAGAGCCGTTATGTCAATGAGGATGGCGAGCTAGGTCGTAATGAGTGTCCGCTTACCATCGCGGGGCCAGTGATCACTTCTGTTCGGGTTGTGCAGTCTGTTTAGCCTTTAAATTCATCGACGTTTGCCAAGACTTGAACGAGCTTCCCTTCAACTTGAGACTTTTTAAACCAAACTCGATCTTCCTAACTAAGAACCCTACTTCATCATCCTTCCACTTTAAAGGTGATCGTCTTGGTTTCTTCCCAAGCTCCTGAGCTTTCTAACGTCTGCTAGCATAGTCCACCAATCTACCCCTTCATCGCCATTGAACTCATTGATCGTTTAAATCATTTTCACTTCTCCTATATCGACCTACCAACAAGAGTAAAACTAATCAACTCGAGTGTTCAATCCAGCTACATCATTCCAAGTCTAACCAGAGGACCATCTTGTATCCTTATTCCACACTTTGGTCGGTAGTTCGTTCACACTTGATATCTGGAATCTGATTTGACCACTTGGTAAGTGCGACGGTGGTCAGATGTCTCCTTTTCTTGGCTATTGCTCTTTTCTAGTCTCCTCTACTTCTTTCTGTTTTGAGCTTGGTATAGAGATCGATGACTCTTACCTGTTCGATGGCATTCAAGTGAAGTACTTGACTATCCTCTCAAATGAAAAGTTGAACTCGAACATATCATGATTCACTTTGACATATTTTCTTATACATCTCCTCCTTCACTCATACTATCACTATAAGGGTTTTTCCCAACTTTAGCCGTTAGGCATTCTCACTGGGTTCTACATATGCACCCACCCTGACAGAACTGGCGTGAGTATGTAGAGGAGGAGGGAGATTTCCAATGTCCTTGAAAGTTTGAAGATATGATTCAATTAGTTTTGTTCCTGATAAGAAAGTGTTTTAATTTAGTGATTTTGATTGAGTTTCTGCCCAGAGAGAAGTGATTTGAGTGGGATGGAGAATGAAATTGGCAGTTTAAATTGATGGGTTTTGATTTTAATTTCTTCAGATCAAACTCGCGGACTTACAAACACATTCACCACATCCAACCCGATTCAACTCAAATACAACTCTTAACCCCTTTAACCTTAGCCATGTCGACTTCAGTACTAAGCTCTCAACCACCACCACCACCACCTACTTCATCAAATTCATCAACTCTCCTCTCATCTCATTCAAATCGACTCGATCAAAATCCCAACTCAGTTCTTCCCAACGATAATGATGATGACGATGAAGTACTATCAGAAGCTAGTTCCTCTCCATCATCTTCCCACTCTTCTTCAATCGCCGATGACAATCAACAGGATCAGGACTTTCAAGACGATGGCGAAGATCAACCAGACGATAATGCTGACTCTGATAGTTCTTCACCTGTAATCACTCCATCTGCCTCATCTCGAACTGCACGGCGTCAAAAGCTTGCCAACAAAATGGCACTTCGGCCTACCTTGGACCCTGAACTTTATGGGCTGAGAAGATCTGTAAGTGCCTTCATTACTTTTGTTATCAGTTGATCTCACACTTTGAAACTCATCTCTCCAATCTTCCTATCAACCCATCACAACTGAAGAGTCGAGCTGTACAGAAAGTGAGTTTTGCTTTACTTGATACGGCCCCGTTCCATCTATCTTCCTCACCTGTTTCGTCAAATCCTGATCTTCCGCGAGTTATTTCTTTAAAGGTATTTGACACTCCACCTGCAGATTCCGACAGTCAAGATGATGATGACATGTCTGTCCAGAAGAGATCTAGACATTCGAAATCAAAACGTGAGTGATAGCATTGCTATATCATCAGACCTCAGCTCTTGATCTGATGTATTTTCTCGATTTTTTTGAACAAACTACTTAGGGAAAGCCGCTGAACCTGCATCGGAAAGGTATGCTAATGTTGATCAAGACACGCCGGATAGTGACGACGATTACGCAGATTTCCCTGGAAAACGACCCAAGAAACGTTCAAAGTCTCGCAAGATGAAGGGTTATTCTCCAGAAGATGGTACAAATGAAGATTCAACTTTACTTCGAATTTCCACCAGGAGTGGAAAAGCAACCAACTACAACGAAGATGATCAATATCATGGTATGTTGACTGAGTCGGATGACGATACGATGCCAGCGTATGCCGACCAATCAACTCATCTCATCGAAGGTCAGTCCTTTTCTCGTTGTCCACTACCCATTCACTTCACAAATCGTTCCTTTTTGTACCATAGAGGAAGGCGATGCAATCGATGCGGTCCTGGATCATATGCGCGATGGCAAGCTGTGTTAGTGATCAAAGTTTTTTGAGAGTTCGCCGAACAGGAACTAACGCTGTCGAGGTTATTTTGATGCATATTATAGCGGATCCAACACTGAATGACCCGACCAAGCACCTCTTGTACCTGATCAAATGGCAGCGCTATAGTCACCTTCACTCGACCTGGGAGTGCTATGAGTTCGCCAAGAGCTATCGTGGTCAGTGAATAATGAAGCATGATGACCGTTCATACCTTCTCTTGTCTGATCTCAGAACGCTTTTCACAGGGTTCAAGAAGCTTGAAAACTACATCAAAAACACTTGGATGCCTGAAAACATGATCAGAACAGACCCACGATTCACCGCTGAAGATCTGGAAGCCTTCATGATAGAGCGTAACCGAACCCGAGAGCAAGTGGAAGGTTACAAAATCGTGGAACGGGTGATCGCTGAACGTGATGCCGCTCCAACTCTTGATGTGCCATATGATCACGTAGACTACCTTTGTAAATGGAAAGGTTTGAACTACGATGCGTGCACCTGGGAGGATCATGACCGAATCGTCAACAGTGCCGAGGCGGAGGTTCAGGCGTATCACACCCGTACGCAATCCAAGACTGTTCCCTATCGCTCAACTCCGATTGGAAGGACCCGACCGGCTTTCAATCCCATCAAAGAAGAGCCTAAATACATCAAGGTCGGGGGCACACTTAAAGACTTTCAGGTCACTGGTCTCAATTGGTTGGCCTATGTATGGCATAAGGGTCAGAATGGTATCTTGGCGGACGAGGTAATTAGATCTCTTCCAGCCGCGACTGCTTTAGTTTCAAAAGTTTTCTATACCCAAATTAATCCTCTGTTGTATCATAGATGGGACTCGGTAAAACAGTTCAAACCTGCGCTTTTCTTTCTTACCTTTTCCATACCATGGAACAATACGGCCCATTTTTAGTAGTCGTACCACTCTCAACTCTACCAGCATGGCAGATGCAGTGTGCTCAATGGGCACCTGACCTTAATGTGGTTGCTTATATCGGTAACAAGAGCAGTCGAAAGACTATTCGAGAGTATGAGTTTGGACCTAGTAAAAAGATTAAGTTCAATGTGCTGTTGACCACCTATGAGATCATCTTGAAAGATCGGGCAGATTTGAGCCATATCAAATGGCAGTATCTTGCCGTAGATGAGGTAATGATCATTTATATCTTGTTTACGATTGGAGTTCCAATTTTGATAATCCTGATTTGCGCTTTGACTATCTTTCAGGCTCATCGGTTGAAGAGTAGCGAATCACAACTTTATGAAGCACTCATGTCTTTCAACATTCAAGCCAAGCTATTGATCACAGGAACTCCCTTGCAGAATAACGTCAAAGGTACACCGAGCTCTGATGCATGTTTGCAGTTTCTGTTTCTGATTTTTGTCCCTTGCTCTTTTCTTTTATAGAGTTGCTTGCTTTGATGCATTTCCTACAGCCCGATAAATTTGATCTTTCTGAAGGCCATTTCGATCTAGAGGGTACGTACACGATCCCTTTAGAACTCTTATATCTTGAGCGTAGCTGATACGATCAAGCGTCCGTCATTGAACTTTTATCCAGATGAGGAGAAAGAACGCAAGATCAAAGATCTCCATACCAAATTACAATCGATCATGTTGCGTCGGCTGAAGAAAGATGTGGTGCAGAGTCTACCGACGAAAAGTGAACGAATCTTGAGAGTAGAAATGTCTGAGATGCAAATGTATTGGTACAAAGCGATTTTGACCAAGGTATGTGATGTGATGATATTATCTATAGTGAGTTGAAGATGGTGCTAATCACATTTGTTTGTGCAGAACTATGCGCTACTGGCTTCGACTGATTCACAAGTTTCGCTATTGAACGTAGCAATGGAGCTAAAGAAAGCTAGCAACCATCCATTTCTTTTTCCTGGTGCTGAACCTAAGACGGACACGAAAGAAACTACATTGAAAGGACTAGTGGTCAACAGTGGAAAGATGATTTTACTTGATAAGTTATTAACCCGACTGAAAGCGGAAGGCCATCGTGTTCTCATCTTTAGCCAAATGGTTCGCATGCTGTAAGTTCCTTTTCTAGTCAATTTGTGTACGTTGGTATAAATTTCTTACGGCTTGTTGGCGCAAACGTTTCAGTGATATCATGTCCGACTACATGTCACTTCGGGGTTATATATTTCAGCGACTTGATGGTACCGTGGCATCTGAAGAGCGACGAAAGGCCATTGGGCATTTCAACGCGCCTGATTCTCCTGACTTTGCTTTCCTGTTATCTACTCGTGCGGGAGGATTGGGAATCAATCTCGAAACGGCCGACACAGTCATCATCTTTGACAGCGATTGGAATCCGCAAAACGATTTGCAGGCAATGGCTCGTGCTCATCGAATCGGCCAAAAGAACCATGTGAACGTTTATCGACTTGTGACGAAGGACACCGTGGAAGAAGATGTTTTGGAACGTGCAAAACGTAAGATGATTCTCGAATACGCTATCATCAATCAAATGGATACTTCAGGGAAGAACGTTGGGAAGAAGGAAGCCCCTAAAACTCAACAGTTCAACAAAGAAGATCTTAGTGCGATCTTGAAGTTTGGAGCTGCCAACTTGTTCAAAAGTTCTGCCGATCAATCAAAGCTCGAGTCGATGGATTTAGATGAAATCATGACCAAGGGTGAGAACTTTGAGACAGAGACGGCTCCAACAGGTACTAGTTTGGGTGGCGAAGACTTCCTTCAACAATTCGCCGCTGTACAAGATGTAAAAGCCGATGTGACCTCATGGGATGAGATCATACCTTTATCCGAGCGTCAGCGATATGACCAGGATGGTGATGCAGCTCCTGTCAAAGCGAGTCCTGAAGGTCGTCGAAGAGCAGCTCACTCTGGCCCGAAGCTCGACTCAAAACACTTCCGCGATCTCGATGATGGTGATGAATACGATGGCGGATCTAAAGCAAGTCGAAAGAAGAAGAAGACGAACAACATTAATGCTGCACAAGATCACGACTCTGTAGATTCGAAACAAAGAAATTCACGACCTACAGAGTTAACCGTCAAACATATTCGAGACCTCATTCGCGCACTTCAACACTTTGGTGATATCCGACAACGTTACGATATGGTTGTGAAGTATGCTAAATTAGAGTCAAAGGATCGGAATACGATTTTAAACTTTGTGGATGAATTAACGGCATCTTGTGAACAAGCATTAAAGGAGAATGAAGAATCCATTGCACAGAAACGTGAAGCTGGAGAAGAAATCACACCTGCGATTCGGAATAAGGCTGTATTGGTAGAATTTCGTCAAGTAAACAATATCAATGCTGAAACGGTTGTGAATCGGATTAAGGATTTGAGAATCTTACATGATGGTATGTTTGGGTGTTTTACTCTTATCTCCCTTTGTGAAACTTACCATCAACTGACATGTTTCCTGCTTGTAGAACTATCTGCTGAGCGAGATGCCCTTAATTGGAACCATCCGGTATCTTCACTCAAGTCATCTACAACAGCAGGATGGTCGTGCGAGTGGAGTCTAGCCAAGGACAACGCTTTACTCATAGGTGTTTGGCGTCACGGTTTTGGTCGATGGGATTTGATCCGAGATGATGTAGATCTAGGCCTGTCAGATTCCATCTTTTTGGACGATGTGAAAAAAGTCAAAGGCGAAGAACCAAAACCAAAAGCGATTCCAGGTGCGGTACATTTAGGTCGTCGGGCAGACTATCTTCTTCGTGCCTTGAGGGATTATCAAGAACAGGCTGAGACGGATGAGGCAGATGGAGATAGCCCTAACCGTCCGAGCGGCCATTCTCACGAGCCCTCTGCCAGTGGTTCGCATAACCGACCATTTTCCACATCCTCAAACATTCCCAAACGAGCGCGAGCACCCTTGCCACCCAAGCCAGTCACTACCGGTCGTTTCCTCAAACTCAAAGTTCGATCACCTCAACCGCCTCCTCCCACTCGAGTTGATCCACCATCAGCTGCAAGTGGTTCAAGCTCAGATTTAACTGAAGAAGAAGATGAGGATAGCATGGATGAAGACGAGTGCAAGGAGGCTATGAGACCGGTTAAGAAAGAGCTGAAAGAATTGCGGGCTGATGAGAGCAAATCCCTTGAAAGCGGAGCCCGAGGTAAGTCTTCTTATTTACCTTTCACCACCTAAAAGATGTTAACGTTGGATTTTATAGCTGCTGTGCTCAAACGACTGCTGAAAGTGATTGGAAATCATATCCATGACTGTGTTGACAAGCTCAAGGCAGATCAATATGAGCGGGCACGGAAGCGAAGACATCTGTGGACATTTTCGGCTGAATGGTGGCCAAGACCTCCAGGCGCATCAGGCCCAACCATCCACCCAGGAAAGCTTGAGGACTTATACCTACGGTAAGCTTAAAAGTGGAGAGCTTAACAAGAACCTGGTTTGCTGACGTGTTGATCTCTGCTTTCGTTCCGGTAGGCTCATGAATCCTGAGACCAAGCAGGCCGAGGCATCGGGCTCGGTTCAGGCAACCGGATCTCAGAGCGGACCGTCTACAAGTCGAAGGCCAACGAGTCCCCCTCTCGAGAATTCACCTCATCTTTCACATAGCTCTCGACCTCCTCAATCTCGTTCGCCACCTCAAGAGGGTAAACAAAAACAAGGCTCTGAGTATGGCCAGGAACGACATCGAGGCGGAAGGCGTGATGGTCATAATGGAAGTAATGGGTTACCCAACATACCAAGATATACTAGAACAAATGGAAAGGATTCAACGGGGGCTAGGAACATGTCGCCTGGGAACGAGGGGCCGTCAAGTTGGAATGGCAATGGTGAACATCGAAATTCACATCCACCTCCTACTGCACATTACCCATACATGGCACATCCACCACATGAACATATGGCAGGTGGAGCTGGAGCACCAGGAGGGTATCATCAAGCCATGCAACAATCACCGCCACCACCTCATCCTATGCACCCATTAGCGAACGGGAATGCCAATGGTGGATACTTCCCACCGCCTCCTGGCTTCCCGATGATGCCTTATGGAACACCTTTACCATACCCACCACCTGTTCCTAATGGATATCCTATTCCTAATCACCCACAACAAGCTTATCATCAACCTCCTCCTTTACATTATCCTTCACATCCTTCATCTGGTCGTCCACAAGCTTCATCACATCGATGAGAAAGGTTAAGAAGACAGATGAAAAGAAGAAGATGAAAAAGGTTTTCATCATGTAAATCAAAAGTAGGAAACGATGACGAGAAAGGAAGAAGAGTGATTGACTGTTTTGTTGAGATCGTTATAGGTTTTGATTGGGTATTCCGAGTGTTATTTTTGTCTTTTTGGTTATTCTAGGACTTCTATTATTGAACAATCTCACCATGTGTGTGTGGTAAAATATTCCCTTTTTAAGTTCATTTGTCACTGAAAAAAAGAAACTGATATGTCTCAGTTTATATGTTCCTGCTCTACTTTTTTTCTATAAAGCTTTTTATTTATTTATTTCATTGATCATTTTCCATTGTAGTTGAAAAGTTGATTATCCTTTTTTTTTATTATCATGAGATGTTTTACCATTATATTATTGTTTCATTAAGAAATGATGAAGAGAGGGAGAAGGGAAAAAATCATTCAATGAAAAAGTTTACATTGTTATTATTTTTTTTTGGTTTTATTTGAAATTTTTTTGTGAGATTGATTTGAAAGATTGATTGACTTTTTAATTAGTCTTGATTCTTGGATTGATCCTTGTTGTTTTGTGGTTTGAAATTGTTTTGAATAATTCAAAGATTCAAAACCTTTGATTCTTATTTCAAAGTTGAATTATTTTGAGTAATCCATACAGGCTATCAAAAAAATGTACAACTTTGGGAAACACAACATATCTTAATGATTTTGTTTGATAAACAAGATTCATAAAAAGATCACAAAATGTAGCAATCTGTAGAGAAGGGGTTTGGTCCAAACTTTGCAAAAGTCACTTGATAGGTTTAAAGATCTTGTTGAATGAAATCATCTGATCACAATCACTCACTCTATGTTCCAACACTTCATTATTCTTTTAATAATTTATGATTTGGTGTAAAAGAAATATAAGGTCTACTTAATTTGTGACTGCTTCAGAGCTTTTGTTCCCTTTGGTAAGTAAATCTTGTAAATGCATTGTTTTTGTCGTTTGTTTTCTTTTTCTTGTCACTTCATGCTTGGTATAGGATTTAAAAAAGATGCTGTGGCTAATGTTGAGGTGTGTACAGTATGTTATTGTTTCATCTAAGAGGTTGAAATTGAGGATAAGGTCAAGTATCCACATGACAGGATTGAGACATGCACTGAAGGCTGAAATGACATGATGCAGCTGACTTAACTAAGTCCCTCCTTGAACTCTCTGCAATTGGGGGGGGCTTGTCTGGATGAAGCACTAGGATGAGTGATCACCCAGAGGCTGGTGGCTTCAGTCAAAGCTAATCTTTATCCTGCCCTCAAATCATGTTTGACTTGTAAATTACCTAGCACTTCACAACTCACTGTTAAAGCAGGAACTACCCCCAATGGTACAAGTCAAGGCCAAGATCTAACATCAGCTTCAACTAACACAACAGAGAGAAATCATGGTCTGCTTGGACTCCATACCCACCAAAAGAGGCATCTTGTTAATCCAGAATGGAGTGTTTGCTGACTTCACACTGTGATTTCAACTTAGGTTTCCTACTGAGGGTGTGGGTCCACTGTTGGACTTCACACTCAACACAGAGAAAAGGATACATTGATTTGCTTGCTCATGATTTGCTTCTCTTTGGTTTGAGTGTTTGAAAAGCAGACTTGATTTATCATCCAGCTTTCAAAGATGAACTCAAATAATTTCAATCCTGAACCTGAATCTTTTAACGACAAGATCTTGTAAGCATTGGATAATACTTTCTACAACTTTGTTTTCGTGAAGATGCATAACTGATGATAAGGAACAGAGTCTCTCTGTAAACACAATCCAGACATCAATTTTGCCTGGTCAAAGCTTTATTGGAGCAGTCCAGAAAGGAGTCAATTACAATTGTATCACAAGAATTTCATGATAGATGTGATTAGCAGAGTAAGCACAACAAAGCTACATCATTAGGATCAATATGTAGTGGTGCTCAAAGTAGACTGGGTTTCAAAAAAGCCAGTCGACCCAGTTGAATTTTTGGCTGTGAGCTGTCAACAAATGTCAACTTGATGCCAAAAAGCAACTGGGTCAGCTGGGTTTTCTTGAAACCGGGTCTACTTTGGCCACCACTAATCATGCTACAGTCAAACCCTTCTAAAGCTGTACCGCTCTGTGCAAAGGAAATTCTATGGCTATAGAGGGGTTTGTCATTGTTGGGGAGCATAGACATACATTCATGGCTATAAATATTGAAATTTCTCCAAAGACACAAAAGATGTGGCTGTAGAGAGACCATCCCTCCACAGCTATTGGAAATATGGCTCTATATGGGTTGGGCTCTCAGCTGATAAAAAATTAACTTGCTGTCCATCCTCACAGTTTCTTACATTTTTGGTACAATGGTGATAAGAGGTTAAGAACCTTATATATTTTTGAATGCACATGGTTCATTTTATTTGTTAACCTTGTATCTTTCAAATGTGGAATTATACTTTATCTATATTCCTATCAAGACTGGTTCATGGAACTAAGTCCTAAGTTGTGCCTTGATTAAGACTTGACAGGATATCAAAATTTTCAGTATTTGCTCTGCTAAGTAGTTTATCAGAAGAATCTTTGAATGTATGACTACATTACAACAGTTTTGTCATTTATACTAAGGAAAGAAGTGATAGCGCCTAGAGGGCTGAATTTTGAGGATTCATACCTACTGGCCATTTTTCTATGGATTTACATTGAAAAAATTGTTTTTTTCAAGTTTTAGATATGGGTTACTGTGAAAGCTATGGGATTCTAACAAAATTTGGCCCCACTCAACGTGGGGGATTGGGGGAAACAAAAAAATCATGGCTACAGGTTAAGGCTTCATAGAGGTACAGCTTGAGAGGGGTTTGACTGTACTCATGTTTTCTTCTTGGAAACGACTCGGGCCACACTCATCTTTGCTACGGCCACACTTCACGTGACTTGGCTACACATACTACATACATGTATTTACTAGCCTTCAAATTCACATTCCAGATCAATGATTCAGGGAGAACCAACACAGCCATTACCACCACCACCATCTCTAAAACATTTATTGGACATACGGTGAACGCTTGACATGATTATTTCATGGAAGCTGAAATGCTTGAATAACAATTACAAACTCTTGAAGAATCTAATCCGGAAGTTCATCAGCGTAATAATGCTGGATTATGCTCACAATCGCCATCGACTTAAATTGCAGGAGTCTGCAAATCGACCCCAAGCTTGATTTTTACTGTTTACCAACTACTTACTCAAGATATGAACTTGTGTTTCACTATGTAAGCTTAACAAAGCCCCTCACAAGCGCGTTCGCCGCGCCCTCAAAGAGGCCTCCGTGAACATGTGCAATTAAAAACAATCATATGATCACTTTGATCCAGTCTAAATCTTTAAAGTCTTCTATTCCTGAGAAATCCTTGGGTGATGTGAAAAACTCAGCAAACTAATTGGTGGTCTTGACTAAGCGTTTGATTCCCTGCCTCACTCCCATACCATCCAACTCAAATTGACTTTCCAATAACCTTCCTCGAGGTCTCTTGTTACCTACTGTCTCGCATCACGGAAACAATTCATTGTAACCAACTCGATATACAATGCATTGAGCGATCATGATCAAACCTGATCAAACATGACTGTTCAACGATTACATTTAAATCATCCCTTTTCCACCTCACTCTTCCCGCTCGTTTCCCAATCCTTTGATTATCAAAGAAAAAAATATGCACAGTTACATGTAGTGTGGTTAATACTAAAATTCTAATACGGAATACTTGTATGTATGTGTAGCCAAGTCACGTGAAGTGTGGCCGTAGCAAAGATGAGTGTGGCCCGAGTCGTTTCCTTTCTTCTTTTATCAAGAGATGTGACAAGCCATATTGAATAAATGGATACAACAACAATAAATGTGTTCATTAAACACCGGTGTCATTAAATTCGTCCTCGATATTACCCCCCGTTCAAGACACTATATTTGTTCGGAAAATGTATTGTCAGCGATGCTATTATTTATTGCATCAGGAACGACCAATTGAAACAGAAAAGCATGACTCACCATTATAAAAATTTAACACCGCCCACACATCAGGTTGGAGGAGGCATCATCATTTTCTCTGTGATTTCGGGTACCAGGTCCTGGTTTTTATCCAGACTATCACGCCT